GCCCGGGACTGAAGGGCGCCCTTCTTGGCCACCTTGGGGGCCGTGTCCGGGGTTTCTCGGGGATGAGAGCCTGGCTGGGAGCCGGGGGGCCGTCCAGGTACGCGCCCTGCGCACGGCAGTATCTTCCTGTTAGTGCGAGAAGAACAGGATCGACCTGTGTGAGCCAGCAGAGCAAGCCAGGGTCCAGCCCTGCCGAGTCTTCCCCGGGGGCCGACCCGGAAGGCGCCCCGCTCCTGCGCACCCCACCTTCACCTTGCCACAGTAGTCATTCCGATGGTGTCTCGGACGAGAATCCGAAGCCTTCCTCACGTCCATAAGGATTTGAGCTCTGTCCCTGGGGTGGGAATCTTGTGCCGGACACAGTTGCTAACTCTGTTGACAGATCGTCTTATTCCTGCACTCTAAGCAACTCGGCCTGTGTGCACGGATATGCATCCCGTACTCACAGCCAGTGCTGGTACAGGCCGCCACGTTCACGTCTTCACTTTTGTCTGTACTCTTAAAGGGAAATTCTAGGGAGACCCTTGCCTTGGTTGCCTACAGGTAATAAGAAGTCAGCAACCATTGAGAGGCTTGTCTTCCTGTGCTGACGGTGACATAGCAGAGTGGGCGCTGGTGTTGGTTGGTAGTGGTTTGTCGTTCACGGCCTCTGTGCTGATATTGCCCAAGAGCACCAGGCTATCAGCTCAGCCTTGTGCGTTAGGAGGGGTTATCTTGGTGAGTAGATAAGGTTTTTATGAAGGGAAGTGCCAGAGGAGAAACGGAAGCAGTGCCGAGAAATCAAGGCTGCTTTCTAGCATCTCATTTCCGCTTCCAGATGCCCCTTGGTGTGGCCACTGCAAGGCTCTGGCCCCTGAGTATGCCAAAGCCGCTGGGAAGCTGAAGGCAGAAGGTTCCGAGATCAGGTTGGCCAAGGTGGACGCCACGGAGGAGTCTGACCTGGCCCAGCAGTATGGCGTGCGCGGCTATCCCACCATCAAGTTCTTCAGGAACGGAGACACGGCTTCCCCCAAGGAATATACAGGTGTGGCTGTGGCACTGCCCTTGAACTGTCTTTAGAGAGGGACTGGTCTGCCGGCTTGGAAAGGCGCAGGCAGTAGTCTGAGCGGTGGGGAGGCCGGGTTCCAGAGGCTTGGCGGGATCCCGTTCCTCAGGCCGGGTTCTCCTCGTTGTGCCCTGAGGGTCCTGTGAAGAAAGTTTTCATCCTGGAAGAACCTTCGAGTGGGGAACCTGTCTTGTCTGGTGCTACTCTGGGGTCGGCTGACTGAGGTCTGTCTGGAGACTGACTAGCGAGGAGAGGAGACTGGTGCCTTTCTGGCCACATGGGCTCTTTGTGCTGCCCCTCTTCCTAGGAGCAGCAGCGTAGCTGTAGCTCTTGGGGTGACACCTGCTAGCTGTTGTTTGTAGCGTGCCAGCTGCCGCACCATGTGCTTGGGTGATTTCTCCTTGCATCCTCTCTGTGAGGCAGGCCTTTCCCAGACAAAGGGCTGAGGCTTAGAGCAGCTGAGTAACAGCATTGCGCCTGTCGGTAGCAGACCTCGAATCCAAGCCCACCCGGCTCTGTCTGTAGCACAGGCCCTCAGCTGCTCATCTGCCACCTCTGAAGCTGCCTTCGTGGAGGCCGAGCCCCTGTGTAGCCAAATCAGTGACTGTGGCAAAAGAAGACTCATCTGTAAAACCAGTTCTGTGGCACGTCAGATGCACATGATGGGCGGCCTGAAAGCAGTTCATTCTAGTGTTAACAGGGTTGTTCCCTTAAGCAGGTGTGCCCTGTCCTGTT